ATTTCTTTTTTCAAGAAGAGAAACTGACCCATTGTATTAAAATGTTATTTTCAGTCAGTTCTGGGTACTCTTAATACTTGATGTACACTCCCACATCTTTATGCTTGATTTAATTTCTTTAAAAATATGTCGAACCTACTGAAATAACAACAGTACTTAAATATTGGGGGGGGGGGGGCAATCCCTGTGTTTCTTTGTACCTAAAGAGTAATCTCACAAAATAGAGAGTCAGTGCTGTGTAGTGGTTTGAGTGTTGGACAATGACTCTAGAAACAAGGGTCTAAATCCCCACTCAGTCACGGAAACCCAGTGGGTAATCTTGAGCAAGCCACAATCTCTAAGCCTCAGAGGAAGGCAAAGGCAACCCCTCACTTCCAACAAGTCTTGCCAAAAGAAACCCCATGATAGATTTGCCTTAAGCTTGCCATAAATCCAGAATGACTGAAGGTACACAACAATAAAATTTAAAATTAAGAAAAGCTGGCTACACTAAAATTAGATACAATCTTTTCTATGAAGCCATCTGAGTTTTATTGCAAAATACACACACAGAAGAAGTGTGCTGTGAAAAGTTAATGTGATACCTCCATGGCATAGGAGGGCTCCAGAAAGATAGATTTTAAAGAAGTTTTGTAGAGATGTGCTTAAAGTAGGTACAAATATAGCTACACATGCTACACTCTAGAAACAGATGTTTTAAAGTTTGAGATGAGCATGACCTTGTTCATGTATGTATTGTGAAACTACGGAAAGGCAGAATTAGAATGCTACAGAATGAAAAACAGGACACAAATACTTCAGGTTTTAAGTAGGGTGGGACAACTGATTATATATTATAACACTCCTAATTCTTGTCTTCTCCAGCTACCTGCTGTGATGGTTAGGGATGATGGAACAGGAATCCATTGACATTTGGGGGGTCAGAGTTACCTTATTTTTGGAAAGAAATGACAGCCACCATGCTGAAGAAAAATATACAAAAAAGCACCAAAATAGGTAAGACTTGGCTTGGAAATGGTTTTTCCAGTCAGTTACAAATCTATCCCTAAAATTAATGTTTGATTGTTTTCTCATTAATCTGGAATACAGATATGTTATCGACAGAAACTGAGACACAATTGCTATGGCTATTCATTACTTTTTTGATGACATCCATGTGGGTTTAACCTTAACAAGAAGTTGCAGTCTTTATACCGGGCCTCACTGAGCTCATTATAACTTACTTTCAAATAGATATAGGTAAGTGTAAAACTTCTTTGTTTTGAATTGTGTTAATCTTTCACTTTCCCCCCACTAAATGGAACTAAATCTTTCACTAAATGGCTGAATATAAATTAGGCATGGCTTCTTTTCCAAATTCCTTTTCTTCACAAGTGTGATGATCTGTAGTTTACATGGAGGAAACAGAAAACCTAGTACATTTTCGGGAGGGGGGAATTGTACTGTACTCAGTTGAAGACACCATAAAGATTACTTGTCCAATAGGCAGTGTGTATTCTTAGATCATGGAAGAGAAGCATTAACCTTTGGTACTGTATCCCTTTCCTCATCCTTTTCTGTTTTCTTTTAGTGCCAATTCAAAATAACAGGTGTGTGGTAACAACATTTAACAGAAAAAGATTGCACAGCACAATGGGTAGGGTGGGTTTATCTTTGTATGTATATAAAAGGGTGAACCAGGCCTTAGCTTTGCTGTAATTCTTAGATCCACCTAAATGAAACTGGTTCAAAATAATTAACTTAGAATTTAAGAATTTGGACCCCACGAACCTGGTCTGAGTCATCAGAATTGAACAGATATCACAGTCCATTCAATACAACTCCAGTTTTGGTCTTGTTCTCCACAACTTCACTCCCATTCTTCATTTCAGTAGTGCACATTAAAAAGTGGGAGTCATTTCAATGATACTACAGTTAAATAGCTGAGAACAGGCACTTCTTGCATGTGTGCTGCAAATTACACAGATGCTTACCAGTCTACCTTTGATATATAATGCTATGGACATTTGTTCTGAAGGATAATTCAAGATACCCATGGCTAAAGTTAAACAATATATTTAAAGCACAGTTTTAAGAATTTACATAGGAAACATGTTTAAAATATCTAAATATTGATGGAAAATTAAGATATTAACAGCTAAAGAAATGAATTGAGGAAGAGGAAATAAACTGACTTAGTTATTCTTCTTTTTGAAGATGATAAGAAGTACATTACAGCCGTCTCAGTTTTATATTTAACTGTATGCTGGGTGAAGTTTTAGTATTCACTGCAAAACTATCTGAACATGGATATAAAATTATCTTCTATAATTTATCTCAATAGCTGCCATGCCGCTCTATTCAATAGTAATGGCAGGCATAGGGCCCAAAGCACTTATGCAAGGGTGAACTAGCACAGCAATTTATACTATTCATTTATATTTTTATGTATACAGGTCTGGGTTTTACATGGACAAGATTCCCGGTTCAATCCACGGCATCTATGGTAGGCCTGGAAAGATTCTACCTGAAATCTGGGAAGACTGCTCTTGCTCCCAGAGAAGACTTGCAGTGGGAATCATGTGGCATTTAAGATATTGTTAGACTGCAAGCCTCAGGAGCCACAGCCAGAATAACTAATAGTGAGGAATGCTGGGAACTGCATTTCAATGGCCTTTGAAGAGCCACATGATTCTCGTTACTGGCAGAAGACAGAGCCGAGAAAGGAAAAGGAGGCAGCAATTTATGTTCAGTCAGTTCTGCATACCCTTAAGCTTTAACGAATAGTCAAATGGATTGAAGTGAGTTTTCCAGGCTGCATGGTCATACAGCTCGGAAAACTCACAACAACTCAGTGACTCCGGCTATGAAAGCCTCCGACAAAATAGTCTAATGCTTGACTTTTTCCTTTGAGCCGACTGAAATAATAAAGCTTAAGCAAGATGGCCAATTCCCAGTGTTTCTTCTTTGCATCTGAAGTAAGCCCACAAAAAAACAACATCATCAATATCAAGAAGTTGAATTCACCAGAATGTTTATTTCACATTCTAAAAAAACAACAATTAAAATGTCCACACCATTCTCATGTTCAAAGTTCTAATGTTCTCACATTAGCAGGGGATGGACAAGATGAACGGAAGTGTTGCCCACCTTTGTAGTCTATAAAAGAAAGGAACACAGCATATGAAGAACAGCAAAGAGGGGATAATCTAAACATGGAAAATTCCAATACTGCATCCACATTGTTATTTTCCTTTTGGCATGCCATGAATATTTTTGGGGTGACTCAAGTTATTAACCAAAATAATATAATGCACGTGAACACAAATTAGTACCAAACTGCCTGCATTGCAAGCATCATTCTTATGAAAAGTTAGACAGGATTTTCATTGGTCTCTCAAGAAAAGTCATGAAAGCTGAAAGAGTTACTAATGTAGAATGGTGCAATTTTCAGGACTCATGTATAATAAAGCCAATAATCTATTCATGGTTTTATTTTAATAATAAACTATAACAGAAGAATAGGTCTGACTCTAAGGACATGTAAGAACAGAGGATGAAAACTGCACATATTCCAGTAGTTATGTGATTCTTAGTTGTAAAAGGTGGAGTTCTTTGGCTGATACATTTTCCAAATAGGGAAGCTTTTATTTGGCATGTTCACAGAACCCAGAAACGAACATTTATGTATACCTGTAAGAGTTTAACATCATGCGTGATCCTTGAAGGATAGAAACAATGAATAATTAGGGAGAATGGGTAATAAGTATTTGTAAGCAGCATTCAGTTATGGGATGCCCCACATATTTCTGGTTTCTCTGGGTTCTGTTTCTAGACTAATTGGAAAGTGGACAATTTGAAAATGTGTGAACAGCAGTATTGGTGATATAAAATTAAAAAAAAAGAATGGAGGTTACAAACTAAAGAAGAATGGAATGGGAGTAAATAGCACAATTGAATGGTGGGAGATAAACAAGTGAGGACTATGGACTAATGTAGCCCCACTGCAATTTCTCCCCATCTTTCTTCCCAGCTTCAAATGCATCTCTGCAACAGTAATGTGGAACATTTATGTTGAGACTGAGAACTGAAATTCTGATGAAATAAGATTCTAGGTCCTGCATTTGTGTAGAGGTCTTAAATCAACATTCCTTTTTTAAGATCATGAAAAAATACTTTTTAAAATACCCGTTCAGCCTTAGATACTCCTGACATGTTGGTGCACAAGGTAAATAGATATAAATATATTAATTCAGGGTAAGATTTCTTCCTGATTACATATCTAAAAAACTGTTTAAGGAGTGACACTGTATTACAACTTTAGTGGACAATGTTGGACACAACATTAATTTATGCTTTTCATTTCTCTATCTAAACAGGAATTTAAATTTTTCAAGTATTTACTGCAAATTCTGAAGATAAAGAGCACCTGCTTTGAATATAGCAGCATTTTCTATATACCAAAATTTTAAAGTGACAATATTCTGGATTCTTGGTATTTGCTAAATAAATGAATAAGCCAGTGTGGTGCAGTGCTTTGTCTAATCTAGGGTTCAAATTCCCGCTCAACCATGGAGACTCATTAGATGATATCGGGCAAGATCATACTCTTCCTCAGATGAAGGAAATGGCAAATCACACAGCATAAACTCTGCCAAGAAAACCCCCTCATGGGTTCGCCTTAGTGTTTCTCTAAGTTGTTAACAAGTTGAAGGTACACAACGATTAAAAAATTGTCAATAAACATGAAAACATTTCAACAACCCTACAATAGAAGTAATGCTCTTGAGTGCATCTTGAAAGTAAGCAGTGAAGGGAAAGTGAAGAAAACAGTTTTGGTTTGGACTCTGATAACTTTTCTATGCTAGATCTAAGTGAAATGCAGTGTCCCCTTTCCCTGCCGGACAAAAGAGAGCAGAAGTAAGATCAGGTCAGCAATGACAGATAGAAGGGTTTCAGTTTCTGTGGCCAGGTTTCAGGGACAGGCTATTAATTTAGGGACTTTTTCAGCAGCTGCTTACCACTGCAGGTGGAAGAAGTGATGTTGTATAAGAATGGATAGAACTGCAAGCAGCGGATCAGCTTCAGGCTCTTCTCACATTCCAGACATTTTGTAGCGATATCCAGGGCGTGTCTGAAAGCCTGTAATGCCCCACTGACATTCTTCAGAGCCAAATAGGCATTACCTAAGCTCAAGAAAGTCAGGGGCTAAAAGACAAAACAATACTTCAATCAACCAAGCACTATAGGAGGGAAAGGAGGGAGGAAGTTAAAAAATGAGTTGTCCGTTTAATTTTATGTGTTTCACTTTTCCAAAAGTGGAGACATGACGGCCATGTTTAAATATCTGAAAGGATGTCATAAAGAAGAGGGAGCAGGCTTGTTTTCTGCTGCCCTGGAGACTTAGAACTCAAAGCAATGTGTTCAAATTACAGGAAAGAATATTCCACCCAAACATAAGAACTTCCTGGCCATAAGAGCTGTTCAGCAGTGGAACTCTATGCCACGGAAGGTGGTGGAAGCTTCCTCTTTGGAGGCTTTTAAAAGAGAGGCTGGATGGCAACCTGTCTGGGGTACTTTGACGATGCTTTTCCTGCATGGTAGGGGGTTGATGGTCTGTGGTCTCTTTCAACTCTATTTGTTCTATGAAAAGGCACTAGAAATAAAATCTTACCGAGCAGTCAAACTAAACTGGGATTATTACAAATACTTTCATATTTTTGAGAGTCTTTGTTAAAAGTGCAAAATATTAACATACGTATTTAAACTTCAAAGAGTGTATATACTTCAAAGAGTGATATACTTCTTTGTGATAATGTTTTACAAGCAGCAGATGTATAAATTCAAAACAGTTTCTTAAAAAACATGGAAATAAAAAGGTGTAAGATATAGGAGAAAACATACATGTCCTTGAAACAATATCATACTACTGAACATCCATGTATTTGTTCAGGTTTGTTCCAATTAGCTTACTGGCTTGAATACTAAGGGAAATTATATGAAAATAATATTCCAATACAGCCTCACTGCATGCCTCCCTAGGAGTCACACCAGAGAGTCAGGGACCATTGAACAAAGAAAGGGGGAAATGGTAGACTGTAGGTAAAAGAGGACTTTGGCAAATCTGGGAAGTGTAATATTAATTTCCAGGTCAATTCAAGAAACAATTTTCCAAACTTCAAATGTAATGAAGTTTTTTTTTGTTGTGTCAGGAGCAACTTGAGAAACTGCAAGTTGCTTCTGGTGTGAGAGAATTGGCCGTCTGCAAGGACGTTACCCAGGGGACGCCCGGATGATTTTGATGTTTTTATCATCCTTGTGGGAGGCTTCTCTCGTGTCCCCATATGAGGAGCTGGAGCTGATAGAGGGAGCTCATTCGCCTCTCCCCAAATTCGAACCTGCGACCTGTCGGTCTTCAGTCCTGCTGGCACAGGGGTTTAACCCTCTGCGCCACCGGGGGCTCCATGTAATGAAGTGATCCCAGTATTGTGCCTGACACTGAAATTATTTTCTTCTTCTGAAGCATGCTTTTCTTCTTTTGAACCATCTTAAAGCAGAAACACTCACCTCAGAGCCATTGATGGCCAAAGCTTTCCGCAGAAGCTTGCTGGCATCCAGATGAAGACCATAATGAATAAGAAGATTTGCTAGATTAACTAAAGGAATATCTTGGAATTCGTGCGGGGTCAAGTTAAAAGCTTTCCGTAAGCAACTGAAGGCAAAGGTGCCATTTCCAAATGCACGCCAGTAAAGGCCAGCCTCATTGAGCACCAGCCATAAAGGTTCCCTTGCCTGAAAGTAAGCAAGCAAGAAAGAGTAAGGTTACCAATGTTTCTCTCAGTGTCAGTCCCCTGTTGTTCTCTCAGGTGTTATAACTACATGAGCCTAGAATGTTGCCACTGGTTCTTAGCAGAATTCTATACATGTACAAATTAGTTTTCTCTATAAAAGGGACATTCCCCCAAATTCCACCACATTCTAATGAAATTAAGAAAGAGAAACTAGGATGTGGCAATGCAGACAGTAACATATTTGACTCTTAATGGGTAGTTATCCACAACATCAGACAGTTCTAACTGAAAGGAACAGAGTTAGAATTATTTACAGTTAACTAAACTAGACTGCTCTGAATTATTAAAAAGACAGTGGTGTCTGCAGATGTGGCACTTCATAAACACAAGAAGCAAAGAGATTACATGGCAGCTGGTGGACCTGGACTCACCTTTACAATAGCATGATGGATGAATGATCCTATTTGTTGCTGTGTGACTGATTGATTGTTCATACGAGAGTATAATATCTGCATCAAAAGATATTTAATACCAAACATCAGGAAATATAAAAAGCAAACCTTTAATGCAAAGAGTTACTCAACTATATTTATCTAAATCTAACTATCTTTATTTTATGGGCTACAATGTCTATAGAGCCTGACCAATGACCTTGCTGACAGGAATTATGGTTTGGTATTCTGTAGGACTAAAATCAACAAATAGGAATCAAGTTGCCTAGCTGTAAATCATAAAAAATCACTAGAATTTTACCACAAAAATATTTTTACAGAAAAGATCATTTGTATATTTTGAAGGTTACAGGTTAACTGTTGGCCTAAATATCCTGAAGGCATCAGATTCTTATTGATCTTGAAACCAAACCAAGGTCAAGTCTTGTTAGTACTTGAAAGCAAGATGCCAGAAAATATAAGGTGCTTTAGACTATATTCAAAGGGAGGTAACAGCAAACCATTTTTGAGTATTTATTGCTGTATGGACAACCTCCAGAAGACCTTTTGTTATTTCAAGAAGATAGGGACTTGAGGCCTAGTTATTCCTTCATATCGTCTCTGTCCCCAGAGCTGCTAAGATATTATTTATTATTTAACACATCACAAGGTACATCACAAGGAGGAATTAATAACCTTTAAGGGTATAGGAGTTTAACCTTGGAGACAGGTGCAAGATAAGCAATGGTGAAATAGCCAAGGGTGGTGTGATGTTGAGAACATCTCAAAATATAAACAAGCATGTTATAAAATGCCCTGGGGCAGGGCACAAATCGAGGCTTTAGCACGAACCTGCAGCCAAGGTGTCATGCACCAGGTGGCTACAACGAAGGAGTCCATTCTGCTGCTCTCGGGGCTCCCAGCAATGTTATTGAGGGTGTCTTGTATGGTATGTAATTTGCTTGCTATATAATAAACTTAAAACCTTTTCCATTCACAATTGGTGTCTGCTGTTGCTTTTGAATCCAAAAAACCAAACCTCTTTTGCATTTGGCAAGACAATTGCCTAAAAAAACTGCATGAAATTCATGGGCTTGCCATAAGTTCACAGGAAAGTTGAAGGTACACTTCTACTGGGGTTGTTTCTTGTTGTTATCATTACTGTTGTGTGTCTTGAAAGATTTGTTTATTGGGAGTTTGCCTTTGCCTTCCTCTGAGGCTGTGATGCTCAAGGTTACTTAGATGGTTTCCATAATCAAGTGGGGATTCAAATCTTGTTTGCCAGGGGTATAGTTCAATGCTTAAATCACTATACTACATTGACTCTTACTACTACTACAACAACTACTACAACTTAACCAGAGGACTAAAATCAATTTTCAGACAAATGCACCGTTATTTGCTTTTGGGTATTTTGACACACGCCTTCGACAACACAAAATTACTACCACTACTACTACTACTACTATTAAAACGATCATTAACAGAATATATATATACAAGATAATACAAGATAGTTCAATATTACATTTCCCCATGTGGCTGGGTGACAGTCGAGCATTAAGACTGAGAGGCAAGAGCATGTCTTAGACCAGCATGCCTTAGACCACCTAAGTTCACAACAAAGGCAAGATTCTGCAAGTCTTAGCTCCAGCTTTTAGCTCTTAATTATATCATTGCAGTGGAAGCCCAACTGTTTCAGAGTTTCACTTAACAATGCCTTTGACAGGAAAGTTTCTTCTTTCTCTTTCTTTCTTTCTTTCTTTCTTTCTTTCTTTCTTTCTTTCTTTCTTTCTTTCTTTCTTTCTTTCTTTCTTTCTTTCTTTCTTTCTTACAATGGTTGTACAGTAAAGTGCTTCTTTATATCTCATGTAGCTAAATGAACAAAGCAAGCCCAAAACATTTATTCACAGTGGCCTGGTTTCCGTACCTTATTAATAGGGTATACACTGAAACAATTCACATCTTATTTTTAAAGGCTCAAATATTTTCAAATTGAGAAGGTAATCTGTTAACAACTGAGCAGCACAGTTATGCACACACATCTTACTTGTTTTGCATGATCATCGGGCATCTTTACATCCAGATCTAGAAGACTGCCTAGTTCTTTGGTCAACAAATATGTTGAATCACTGTTTTGCACATCAGTAATAGAAGAACAATCTGGCTCATAGACATCTGTTAGTGCAATGATCTCTTCTGGGCTGTTAAGTATTGAATGGATCCTAAATATCAAATGATCAATATACAAGTGTAACCACATGATCAAGATTGCAGAGACATTAATTTTAAGTAACTATACAGATCACAAGCACATCTAACGAAACCAGCAGTAATTTACATCTTAAGGAACACGTGTGAGTTCTCCTGCTTTCAAATTGGTAAACTACCTAAAATCACAAACAAAAGCCCTCTTCCAGGTGCCCTGTGAATTGTTACCGAGAAAAAGAGAAAATAAGACAATCTTGCAAATGTGTTACTAGGGTCTGTTATGAGTAGGTACTAAGCTGGGAATGCAACACATCCTAGGACATAGAATGCTGTGATAGGAGGGACGGTAGAAGGAAAGATGTAGGAATGGGATTTGTTTTTGGACCTGTGGGTCAGTTAGTTACAATTCAGGGACTCAGTTGGGAGTGGATGGGTCCCGGATGATGCTGAATGAAAGAAAGAAGATGGCCTGATATTATTCAGCTTGAGTTTTTATCATTTTTTGGAACTAGAAACTGGATCTTATATTCATAGTTTGATAAATAAAGTTAGACTCCCTTGATAATCTTCTGAAAACTAACTCAAACCTTTACCTTTATTCCTGAATTACAGAGTGGGTCACATCAAGAGTTGGACACACCATCATGGAAATAATTTTTAAAACAAACTAATCCACACTCAGGCCTCTTCAAGTATGTTGGTAGAACACCTTCCCCATGAAGGCTTGTCTAGCATCTATATTATGGTGTTTCAGTGCCAATAAATATCTTTATTTTCACATGAATTTTAAAACTGTTCACAGTGCTTTTATGGTTGGCACTCTTATTCAGAAGCTGCGGTACCTTCATTCTTTGCTGCTGGCTTTACTATTATTTCTAAAAGGTTATCTAATGTGTACTTCATATTTTAATGTACTGTATTTTGCTCAGAGGAAAGTAGTTATTGGATAATTTAGTTTGCTTTCATCAACATTCTTGGTTTTTAGTAGCAGTTGCATTATAACAACATTATATTTATATTTTATGTTTACATGTACTATTAAAAGACACATTAGGAAAGTGCCACAAGCATATATTTGTTATTCATCCTTACCTTTGTCCCCTGTTTTCTGGATGCAAGAAATAGGTTGGTAGTTCCTCTGGGGAAGGAATAACTGGATAGGATTGCACACAATCGGATCTTTTAGGCCACATAATATTCTGCTTATCCTGATTAGAAAGAAAATATTTCTTAATTTATCACAAAGTGCTTTTGTTGATTATCACTTTTCTTGCTTGTTAGTTTCTGGTGTACTTTTCAAATTGTGAAATAAACAAGTGAGGGGTTTTAAAATATGTTTTCCCTTTTTTTTTTACAGTCATTCATGGTGTTATCAATATCAATCTATGGTCACAGTATTTGATCTATGGTCAAATATTTCACCAGTATCAAGAAGCTAGATTTTGTTGGGATTCAACCCCACACTGCCCAAGTCTCAAGTTCTCAATGAGGAACAGTTTAGTTATTTCAGTACAGACTAAGGGCTTCCCTTCCCCCATGTCTCTTGTACGACAGATGGAAATGTATCTATTTCTTCTCTCCTCTGTTTCTGCTCTCATTCTGATTGCTTGCATAAAATGGATACTTTTCTACTGCAAGCCTTTTTGAATCTGACTTCTGCTTTCTTACACTTTAGTATGGAGAGTATGTGCTACGTGCTTTGAGATCTCTCTCTGCTTGTGTGCCAGGAGAGATGTAGTGATTTGAGTTTTCCCCTCTCTTGAAACCTTAGAAGGGATGGGTATTAGAGTAGCTCAGACCCAGTTCTTGATTATTATGCAGTTATTTCTTATTGTTGTAAACAAACCTTTTGTGATCTTTTAAAGATTGGACTCTGCAAGTTTGCCTACTAAGCTCTGAATTCTTTACAGCCACATCACATGGAACACTACACTCTGCTCACCAATGAGTTGATGCTCAACTTTTGTATCCTGTTTGTTTTTGGATGCTCTGCTGTATATTTTAGGGTAGTTTCCCCTAACAGTTTTCATATCTGTGTACTGGGTTTTGAAATCATAGCTTTGTTGTGATTTGTACTACACAGGATTTGAAGATTTCAGTTGAGAGGCAGGGGCAAAGCTGGAATGACGCAATTCAGAATCTGAGGCCAGGATATTTTTTTTGGGGGGGGGGGGGTTGTTCCACATAGGATCAATAGATGGTTTTTGGTTCTTAGGATACATCCAACCCTCTTGTAGGTTCTAGAAAGACATTTCCACTGTTCCCACCAGTCCTTGGCAATGATAACAATGGGGATTCGCATGTGCTGCTTTGGGATGGTGCCCAAGATCACTCATTAAAAATGCTTCACCCTTCTCCCCATGTAAGGAAGAGGTTGTGGCTTGGCGGCACAGGACTAATTCTAGCAAATGCCATGAGAAACCTCACCCACTGATTCCATTGGAGTTATCATTATATTTGCACTTTTAAAAGTTATTTTACCTATGGAGGACAACAGGCAGTGAGTGACAATTTTGCCTCACACATCCCAATATTGATCTCCAATCTTGCATGCCATGTAACTAGTGTGTGCTATGACACTCTATCAAGGGAATTGCCGCTATCTTTATAGTTACCCTGTAAGCATTAGATTCCAAGCCCCATAATGAGACAACAGAATGGACCAAAGGGGAAGACTCCAAAGAGTGGCTAAAGTCACTGTGGTTGGCAAGAAGCTCAGAATGCATGGTCGTCATACTGGAAATGGAGAAATCACCACCAAACTATGAAGAAAGAGAGGGAGAATATTCAGCATGAAACTGAAGTTCAGGGAAATTCTATTAAGACAAAAACTATCCCTTCACAAAAATAATTGCTACAGTCCAGTTAGAAACAGTGGCATTACATCCAGTTTTGCAACATGTTTCCAGTTAATTTCTAAGATAATAACAAAGATAATGATAGTCTTACACTGTCACATAAATATCTCTGATAGAAAGTCTCAGAAAGACATGCAACATAATTACTATTTCTTTTTTAGTATGCAAAACAATTCCATAGATACATATATTTGGTACTTGTATGTCTTGAAATTGTACCATTAGCTTAGCTAACAAAAGCTCTATTTGGAATAACTACACACTCATATGAGAACAGGGTCTTGATCCTAATTCATTTGCCTAGTTGGAAGGTTTTTGAACCAGGAAGAAGTCATTCATAGTAACATTTGTTCATTTCATTCTAGATATGAATTGCTTCCTAAAATCTAGACCAGCAATAGTTGAAAGATACAACAAACACAGTAATCTTTTGTTGTATCTGTCAACAGGTACAAAAAACTCAATTAAGAGTTGGGAATGGACATTTAGCAGGAGAGAGGCGATGTCTGGGTGTATTGCTTTATTCAACAAACAGGCCAAGGTACTGCCAGTTATATTTTAGAGGGGAAAACTTCCAAAATCAGCATGGCTTGCCTACTTAGCCTTCATTTTTTCAGTGTTAAGGAATGATTTCAGTGTATTTTTGCACCATGAAATATTTACTTTGTATGCAATTTAACAGTAAGCAAGTAAACAAGCCATCACACTCTAGCATTCTCATTCAGAATGTGAATATGGGTATTATAAACCAATTGAAATGCCTTGGGTTTCACAAGGAATATATAATATGTCCGGGGATATGTTTAAGAAGCACTAGCAGTTGACAAAGTTCTAGGTATTCCAGCCCAAGTAAAGCTACACTCATCGTTTTTAGGAGCCATACAAAAGATGCCACACAAGAGGAGTGAGCGAGCTCTGGAAGCGTATGGATGTCATTTTCTGGCTTCAGGGGTCACAACAACCTCTCTTCAAGAACTCAGAAACAAAACAACACTTTAATATTTAAAAAAAAAACAAATCCGATTTTTAAAAAGAAAGATATGAGCATTTTTGGGGGTCCTATGCTCACTTTAGTCTATAAAGGAGTACTGCTTCTCCAGGAAGCAAAAATGTCTTAGATAAAATTCCTATGTGAATTTATTTTGTTTTAAAAGCCACTGTCATGAATATAAACTGATAGAAAAGAAGGTTCTCAAGGAGCAGAAAGGCCAATGCCTTGCAGACAAACCTCGACATATTCAACATTTTCAAACATGTCACCACGATGATAACGAACAGGTTGGTCCCACTGGCAATGCAAACTGTGCTGCTGGTTGCCCAGGCGACAGATCTGGTGGTTCCCTGCAGTATATTAATTCAAAATATAAGTTGAAGACTAATAAAGATATTCACAGACAGCATTTAGTATCAGCAAAGTAATAAAAATACTGGTTAACTTTCTTTTAATTATAACTTGTGTCACGCGCCAAGAAATTTCTATTCTGCATAGAACAGGAACATCTTACATATTTAACTTATCAAAAATAGATTTGCATCCACACAGCAACCTCAGCCAGAACATCTGTTTGCAGTATAAAGAGCTAGTTGAGCATCTGGAAAGTCAAGACAAAAGCAGCATTTATGTTCTCTATGAGATGGTTTTTGCTTATGTTCAGAGGATTTCATATTGTCATCTTATGTAGAAGTAGCCAGGACACTGCCTAAGAATATGAAAAACCTGCAAACAACGATAAAAAGGTAGCTATACAATTAATTGTATAGCTTGTTGACCGAAAGGTCACAGATTCGAATCCAGGGAGTGGCGTGAGCTTCCGCTGTCAGACCCAGCTTCTGCGAACCTAGCAGTTCGAAAACATGCAAATGTGAGTAGATCAATAGGTACCGCTCCGGTGGGAAGGTAACAGCGCTCCATGCAATCATGCCGGCCACATGACCTTGGAGGTGTCTACGGAGAACACCGGTTCTTCGGGTTACAAATGGAGATGAGCACCATACCCCAGAGTCGGACACAACTGGACTGCATGTCAGGGGAAAACATTTACCTTTACTATACAATTTAACTGATCACTATCACTGCCTACATTTAAATCAGTATCATTACCTACATTTAAATCTTTATGGCCTTGAAAGCCATGAGTAATGGTGGCTTGAAGTTCAGGAGTTGCACACACATATACAAAAGCATAGAGAACACACAGATTTAACTGACAAACCACAAATTCTCTTTTTAGCTTTCATATTTGTTACAACCATAGTTGCTTTTCACATTTGCTAATGAACTCTCATGATATAATATACCTAGTTGTGCCTCTTTTGCCATTTGTGTCTCATGGATAATGTTCCTCAAGATCTGCTCTTCCTGAATCAGCTTGTGCTTTTCTAAGATCTCTTGTTGCCTCAAATAATGGTCATGCTGCTTCTGATATTCCTTCAGTTCATTCAATGTTCGTTGAAGTGATCTTGAAAAAAAATAAGTATCAAAGAAAAGCAAATTTGAGTTAGTTCAAATAGTATTTTCCTGTTCCATTATTTTAAAATAATAATGGTACAACATACTACCACATGGTAGATTTTTCAAGTTGATATTTTTTTTAAAGTATCTCCGATTTTTTATTTATTGTATATCATTTTAGAAATTTTAATAGGACAATTTTTTTAGATAGGACAAAAAAATGTAAGCAACGAGCAACAACACATTAGGTTCCTTGTCACAAACAGAAAGATTCTATCAGGAGAGACACATATCTGTCAGTAATGTCACTTTCTCTTTCAGAAGAATTATGTTTGGAAGGAAGAAAGCATTCAGAGGGAGGGGAACATCTAAAAATTACATCTCTTCCCATTCCACTAACGGAAGGCTTGCATGAGTGGAAACACTCTGGCTGGGAGTCTGTCTAAAACTATTCATGCATTTTACCTTGATTTTAAACAAAATACCGTACCTATGCTGAGCCTCCAGTTTCTGCTCAAGTTTTTGCTGACAAAGAACCGCATGTTTTCTTTTAATTGCTTGCTCAAACCCTGGTTTGGCCTGTAAAGCATGATCATAACATAGTACTGAGTGGTTGTATTCCCCAAGCATCTGAAAAAAAGGAATGGGAATAAAGAGCCTGTTAGAAAAATTCAACTGATACTAAATATTTCTCTGAATTGTGTCACATTAGTTACTAGTTTTGTCAGACAACTGTTTTGAAAGACGAATTCTGTTAAATACAGCACTATCTATTTCAGCTCACAACAAACTCGGCCTCCCAATTCATATAAATGACAAATAAATTGTCTGTCAATTTACAGATTAATTACTCTGCAGAGATTGCTGGAAACAAATTATTCTTGCATCTTGATCATTCCATCTCCCTCACTGATTATGAAAACAGCTCGCCAATGATTGAAAATATGACTAATGAATGGAAAACAAGTTCATATTTACTGCATATATGTTTCCTAAAGTGTAATAGCTGGTGAAGACATCACTGTAATCCAGAGCTGCATGGACCACAATGGCTGCATCAGCAGAGAAGTGTGCTCTGTGTAGCACATTTGCCAAGTTTATCAGTGCAATATCTTTATTGTGTCTGAAAGAGAAAAGAAAAAAAGGCTGTTAATAAGCAGTTGGTTTATTATTTATTTATGTATTTATTTAATTAATTAATTTATGCCATCCTTTCCCCAGGAAGGCAGTCTACAAAAAGTTTAAATTAGCTTATCATGCAAAAATGACAATGTTTTGTTCTAAACAGCTGACAAAATGTTTGAGTGATTGCACCTAGTTACCGAGGATGATTAGATTAACAGCATTTGCTACAATTTGGTTCAAATTAGCCAACATAAGCCGTACACATCTGGAACAGCTAGCACAGGCAAGAGAAGATGTAAGCTGAACCTATAGATCATGTACATCAAAAAATTAGAAGAAAATTCTTAACACATTAATGCATGCCCCAATCAAACCTAATCAAGACACATTTGTTTCCCTTGTTTATTTTAATTTGCAACCATACATCAAATGACACTCCCAGTAAAAACTATCTCTCTTACTCATGGAGAAGGTCTCACCTGCTAGAAAAATGTAGAGCCCGCATGGCACACTCCACAACTTGGTGTGGCTCATTCTTTATTCGCCAATAAAAAGAAGCCATATTGTATAATACCCAGGAAGAAGAATTCTGTATAAATTAAGAGAAATGATCAACATAAAGACAGATAGTGACTAAGCTTTTTGTTGGACATGGATGAAATCAGATTTTGAACATAATTCTTCAAAACAAACAAATTATTTGCAATGCCCTCTTTTTATAACAAATATTGCATCCAAAATTAATTTCAACAAGCAGGAGCTGTCCACACGTATTAGCACATTTCTAATCTGAAGTAGGCAGGGAACAATTGAAGACACAAATACTTTTTTAATTACAAATTTTAAAAGCTGTTTTGAACCATCTAGAAAAGAGCTTCTTAAACTTTTTCCCATTGTGACCAGACTGGCCTTCCTTTTTGTGGAGTACAGCTGAAGCATTTTCTGCAGACTCCACTGTAAACACTGCATTTTCTTGCTAACAGATTCGTGCAAATGGGTGATGTTCAGAAACCTTTTAGTATTGCCAATTTTTGTGACCCCTGGCACTGAGCTAAGGAGATCCCATTTGGGGTCAGGACTTAAGAAGCAGTGATCTAGAACACAAGCGGGCAACTTCCAGGGGTTGGAAAACTGAGGACCATAATCTGCTGCTTGGTGTGGCATGGTAGACCCCTCAGTACTACCCCGCCCCCCTCAAATAAAATATTCACAGGACAAATTCATGAATCATTTGGAAGCAGATTAGTGCTTGTTGGAGGTTTCAAAGAGCACCAACTGGCTTCTCTCTGGGGACTTTATTTTAATGCACGTGCCTCCTTTAAAGTCCTTTTGTCATTGCCTAATGCAATGCAATTCAGAAAAACTTCCAGCCCACCGATTAGAAACAACAAATATTGAACTTTTTATTATATGTACAAAGAAAGATGGGGGGAGGGGGAAGCAACAAAAATGAATGTGAAAAAGAAATAAAAGAAGAAAAAAAGGGGTAAATCATGGTCCAAGCCAAGGATGGGAATTCAATGCCACTGTTGCTGAACTGCTACAACTCTTGCCCACAGAGTTAATGCTAAGGAGCATTTTAAGTCAACGGTATATAAAAGACCACACAATTCCTAGCCTTGGACAAGTCATACATATAAATACAAGCTGACATGGCACCATATGAGTTCATGTTGGGGGAAGTACATAATTGGGTAGTGTGTGCGCGTGTCCTTGAAAATTCTTATTTCTTAACAAAGCCAAGGTGGTCATTGTCATTGTACTCATACCTTCATGAGGCCTTCATAAATGCGATGACCAATCTCCTCTATGTTTCTTCCTAATCGTCTGGATAAGTAAGTCAATATGGGGTCCTCTTTAGGTAACAAGGGTGCCGAAAGATTAACTCTTTCTTGAATCCCCTAAAGAGAGTGAGAGAGAAAACTAAATTATATATGTAATGGGATTTTCTAGTTTTCTAGAGATAGGGTCTTCTCAGTGGTGGCCCCTCGGCTACGGAACGGTCTCCCTAGGGATATCAGATCAGCTTCTTCCCTATTAACATTTCAGAAAAAACATAAGACATGGCTTTTCGAGCAAGCGTTTGCCAATACAGAGTAGCCAACATAGGACACTGGAACAACTGTACGATGGGACTGGACAATGTTTTTTTTAAATAAGGATTTATTAATGACTTATGTTTTATCGCTGTTGTTATGATTTTATGTATGTTAATGTTTTTAAATTGTACTTGTGGCATTGAATTTTTGTCGTGTAAACTGCCTCAAGTTGCCTGAGGGCTGAGAGGGGAGGTATACAAATATAATAAATAAATAAATAAATAAATAAATAAATAAATAGATAAATAAATAAATAAATAGATAGTACTCAGCTGGACTTATCTGACATTTCAATGGTCTATTCTCTTGTTCTTCCACCATCAGTGCTGCCAGTGTTTCTGTATTTCACTAATGTGTTTGAAATTTATACAGGGACTGTGAACATTAGGATTGTGTGACAGCTAAGATATAACTAATCCATGTGAACCTTGGACATGAACTCAATAAAATAAGCAATTACTATGTTGCAAAGCAATAAACCACATAGGTGAAAACACTGTGGTGCATTTGCAAAAAAGGCTTGGTCAGGATTCCACAGAATTTTAATTTACTATGGATTAAGCTGAACACCAGCATGTACCTTACCCATTTTGTTCTCCTACTAAAGGGAGTGGCTAAATGAACTAAAGCTAATTTTTTTTAACACACAGATTGAACTGGGGTCTGGTTTTCCATGACATTTTCAAACCAGAAGCACTAGTGTGACATTTGCTTGTGCTAGTAGGAGGCAGAAAACACAAGTGAATGGGATGTGTGCTCCAGCACATAAATATCTTAATGGATATGGAGAATGCTAGAAATATACTTAGTTGATTACTTACCCTTAAGTGTTGGAAAGCATGAATACTATATGGAAGATCTAGAATTTTTGTACATTCTGGCTGTTCTAGGTCTGGAGGTAAAGAAGACTTTGTGTCTATATGGTCTTCAGGGCTGAAACACAAAATCAATGGGTATTTGTTTTCAATGAAAAAGCTCACCAAATACTAACAAATGAAATAAAGTTATGTAGAAATGCTGATAAATACCCACTGTTTTATTCAAATTTAACTAACACTGTTTTTTAGATATAACATTTATTAATAGCATTGCTGCATATTACTGAGGTATGTCTAGAAAACAATACTGAAGGTCTCTCCCCAAGAATGTTGCACCATTATACACAATAAAGATCTTTTAAATGATGTATTTTGAATGGCACATGTTTCCCTCACAAAGCAAAGACACTTTCCACATAGTTATGTAAAATCCCACATTATCTGCTTTGAACTGGATTATATGGCAGTGTGGTCTTAGATAACTCAGTTCAAAGCAGCTACTGTGGATTATCTGCCTTGATATTCTGGGTTATATGGCTGCGTGGAAGGGTCCAAAAAACCCCTAAACAAAGATAAGGTTCACTTTCCATTAGCAGGTATTTCCAATCTATTGGGGGAGAGGGAGAGATTTTGATTCCAATTCAATACTTTTGCTACTTACATCACTATCGTTCCCCAATGCACCACTTAAAGACCACAATGATTTTTAGGATGACAATTAATCAAACCCATCTATAGATGAACCTATGAGCACATAATTGCGCAAATCCAGGAATATAAAACTGGCATTAGTAGAAGAATGTGGAAACCAAAATCCACTGATTGTGGTAATGTGAAAGTATCTAAATTAACTCAATGTATACATTACAAATACACGTATCAACAAAACACAGAGCTGCCACATTCACATTAAGCAGAAACAATTGGTTCTTCTCTTGAGGTATGAAACAAAACCTTCATGTGAGCAAGAATAGTCCTTGAATGACCATAAATGTCCTATTCTTTATTGCACACGAGTAGACTCCAGTAGTCACAATAGGTATAGGTCATTCAAGGACTATTCTTACTCACATGAAGATTTTGTTTCATACCTCAAGAGAAGAGTCAATTGTTTCTGCTTAATGTGAATGTGGCAGCTCTGTGTTTTGTTGATATGTGTATTTGTAATGTATATATTGAGTTAATTTAGATACTTTCGCATTACCACAATCAGTGGATTTTGGTCTCCACAGTTTTAGGGGAACCCATTTTTCTTTTCATTAGTAGAAGAATGGCCATTAATTCCTTTGTGAGAACAAAATATATCCTGCAGGGACATATCATTTACCTCAGCCAAAAGACATACTTCGGGAACACCTCTTGAACAAATAGTCAAGAATCAATAAGAATCTACATGACTATAATGCAATGTTTCCCAAACTTTGGTCCTCTACGTGTTTTGGACTTCATCTCTCAGAAGTCCTGACTAATGGTCAAGGTGACTGGGACTTCTGGAAGTTGAAAGTCCAAAACACCTGGGGGAAACAAACTTTGGTAGTCACCACTATGGTGAATGCATAGGGAGAAAATGTTACTAGTTACTGCTTTTAGCAATTGACACAGCTCTATAAGCACAGGTTGTGCTTTTAGTCATTACTGTTTTCAATTTCAACAGCCTAAGAACTAGGCAATTACTAATATTGTACAGATTGCATCTCTGTATAGTCAGATATATTTCTTAAATGCCACTGACTGAATCCACAAATAATCTTGTATAAAAGCCCAAATACTACTACTTCCTTGTCACAGCCATGAACTGAGTTCTGCTCTTATAAATAAGCTTTTCCTGCCCTCAGACCTTCTACTTTCATGCCTTTGTATCTATAATACACACTAGAAGCTACATGAACCTTCAAGAAAAGAGTATGGTAGAAGGGTGTAGAGCAGTGGTTCTCAACCTGTGGGTCCCCAGATCTTTTGGCCTTCAACTCCTAGAAATCCTAACAGCTGGTAAATTGGCTAGGATTTCTGGGAGCTGTAGGCCAAAACACCTGGGGACCCACAGGTTGGGAACTACTGGTGTAGAGGGATCAGGAATCCATTACTCTGGCACATGTCATCTCATCAACACAGACAGCTAATTTCATTGAATGGTATCATGTTTATTCATCTAGCAGAAAACGCCTACTATTCAGGGTTCCCCCCTTCCCAACTCTGAGGTAATTCAAAGGTGACCAAATAATCCAAAAAGACATGCCTTATTTAATATGAACTGGGCTAAATTCAGGTACAATTTGTCCCATCACCTTCAATTGTAACTCTTCTCCATTCATGTACAATTACTCACATCATACCTGATATCTTTGCTTTCTAAGGTAATATATGTGCCATCATAGAGATCCAAGTCCCCCAAGGGCACCTTCGCTTTAATGCAGTCTGGATCTTCTTTATTATGTCTTTGTTCCAGTCCTGTGTCTCGATCCTCATTCTCTTCTATATGGATCTTTTGAGCAACCAATTGTTTCTACAAGATGTGCAAACAATAAAATACGTACAAAATAAAGAAATTATTAACAGATATTAACATATCTCTATGACAATTTCAAGCATTTATAAAGGAATATTCTCAAAAATGTTCATACATTTTTGTTTTTACAAAGAGCTGGACAATGAAAATATGGCAAATATTTATTTATGCTTATTGAACATGGAACAATAATTCATTATACATGGATGTACAATATGATGTCTTGAACCTGAAGGATCCTTTGTGTTAGCAGAAGCTGTTTGCAGGAAATTGCCACACCATTTCTCCCAATTTCCCTTCCTTCTACAGTCCCCTGTACTATATACTGTATACTTTAAGTCATTTCAAGAGGATCCCAGCTCTTGAGAGAGACTTTTGGTGCCTGTTTACATCTTTACAAGGTGTAACATTGGTAATGAGGAGCTGGGCAAATAAGCATTTCCTATGGAATGACATGGCAGAAGCAATTTAACAGCTAAACAAGCGGTTAAAATTTAAGACACATTTAAAGATAAAGACCTGTCTCTCCCGGCAGGACTACCCAGTCAATTTTACACTATGAATTCTTACTTTACATTTCATTAGTATTGGTGCTTTCATCTTTGTTCTATGTATTTAATGATATTATGTTTTATCTGTGGGTTTTAACTATGTTGTACACTGCCTCAAGTCACGAAGAGAGGAAAGTAACAAATAAAATTAATTACGATTATAATAAGTGCCTCTCTGGATTCAATGCTCTACCTTTCAATCTTCAGTAGACATAACAGTAGATTTTATAATGTCCCTTTAAAATACTGATGCTGCATACAACACTTAGTTTAAAAAAATAATTTTGTTGTTTATCTTAATTATTGTTTATGGTTTGCACTGTTATTGTGTTGTATGCCGCTCCGAGTCCCCTTGGGGAGATGGGGCAGGATACAAATAAAGAGGTTGCTGTTGTTGTTAATACCATGGGAGTAAAGCGTGAGAATTTGGGTTGGTGATGTTTTTTGCTGGTACAATTATTTTGAATAGTATTAACAACAATAATCTTTTATGACCTGGTGGGGGTCGGAGTGAGAGAGAGACTATGGATTCTGTTGGCTTGGCAATACTTCCACAGAAGCCCAATAGTCTTATTATTGTTATTAGGTGGCAACAACCAAATTATTATTATTATTATTATTATTATTATTAAATGAAATTAAGAAAGTGGAGAGATTGAAAAGGATAGGTTTGGTAGAGGAAGGCTGGTAGAATTTGTGTTGGTTGTGTTTTTTGCTGGTATAATTCTTTTGAATAGTATTAACAACACTAATCTTTTATGTCCTGATGCAGGTCGGAATTAGAAAGCGACAATGGATTCTGTTGGCTTGGGAAAGCTTCCATAGAAGCCCAATAGTTTTATTATTATTATTAGGCTGCAACAGTCAAATTATTATTATTATTATTATTATTATTATTATTATTATTATTATTATTAAATGAAGTTAAGAAAGCAGAAAGCACAGTGGGAAATACAAATAATAGAGTCCCCCCTCGGGGGTTGGGAAGGGCAGGGTAGAAGTATATGGAATAAATAAATAAATAAATAAATAGAGAAAACAAGTGTTGAGATTGCAAAGGAATTATTAGGTACTGGTGGTAAGTTTAGGTAGGTAGGTAGGTAGGTAGTTTTCTGAGAAAGAGGCTAAAAAGGCCAATGGGATTTTATGCTGCATCAAAAGGAGTATAGTGTCTAGACTGAGGGAAGTCCCTATGCCTCTCTATTCTACTTTGGTGAGACCCCACCTGGAATACTGGGTCCAATTCTGGGCACCACAATTTAAAAGAGATATTGACACGCTGAAAGGTGTCCAGAAGAGGGCAACTAAAATGATCAAAGGTCTTGGGACCATGCCTTATGAGGGGCATCTTAAAGAGCTGGGTTATGTTTAGCCTGCAGAAGAGAAGGTTAGGAGGAGAGATTATAGGAGTTGGGGGGAGCTCTGGTGTGGGCTTGTCCATGAGGTCACAAAGAGTTGGGAATGACTGAACAAATGAACAATAGCAACAATAAATATGTGAACGGATGCCATAAGGAAGAGGGAGCAGGCTTGTTTTTTGCTGCCCCGGAAACTAGAAGTCCAAGCAATGGGTTCTAATTACAGGAAAGGAGATTTCACTTGAATATTAGGAAGAACTTCTTGACTGTAACAACTGTTCAGCAGTGGAGCTCCTTCCTTAGAAGCTGTTAAACAGAGGCTGGATGGCCATCTACCGGGAGTACTTTGATTGTGCTTTTCCTGCAAAGCAGGTGGTTCAACTAGATGCACCATGTGGTCCCTTCCAACTCTATTATTCTATGTGTCTATGATTCTATGACTAGACCTATTGTGGAAGGATCTGGTTTACTCAAATATTGGGCAGCAATTTAATGATCTAAAGGGAATCAAAATGCTTGTGATAAAGAGGTTAACTTATTGAGGGAGGTTAGAGTCAATGCAGGGAGAATGGGAGCTTTCAGAACAGGCATATGAAAACTTCAACCCTCCAGGTGTTTTGGACTAACTCCAACAATTCCTAACAACCAGTAAACTGGCTGGGATTTACGGGAGTTGAACTTCAAAATACCTGGAGGGCCGAAGTTGCCCATGTCTGTTTTAGAACATTCAGAAAGCCTGGATTCTCAAGTTAGGTGGAGAGAAGAGATAAAGAGGGAATGTGGGAAACTGGACATTTGCTTAAGAAGGTATCTTATATCCCTACTATTGTGCTTTTTAAAGCTAGGTGTTTTCTTCAGTGTGCCAAGAGTTGGCATCATATGTGTATCTATTGGCTACAGTTGTTTCTTTTCCTGGAAAACTGTTGCAGAATTGCAGTAGATAGCTCATAGGGTGGCACTAATCAATTGGGTAATTTCTTTTAATTGCACTGTCCCCCACCCCATGACTGAAATTAAGAGCAGACCATTACCCACAAGTGCACCGTTTTGCCAATACTGTGCCACTTAAAAAAGGTTTTGGTACAATTAGTAGTTGCTAAATTGTTACCAGTAACAACAATTCTTTATTGATTAGTCAATTTTGACCATATCAAAACATGCAAAACATACAAGACATACACATACAGTAAAACCATATATGAATACAAGGCATCATGGCCTACTGGCCTGTCGACCCACTCCTAAATAATTGAGCAACTACAAGATAAAGAGGTTAAAAGATTAAAAATTGATTAATTCCTTAAAATAGGGTTAGGGTGGGGGGCATGGGTAGGTAAAACTAGTGGCGTGTCCATATTAAGTTTTTTAAGTTTGAGTTTTGTTGATGGCAGCAAGGTCGCCTCTCTCTGCTTCCATCTTCTCATGGATGGCCAGCGCTTTTTGGGTAAAAAGGGTCAATTTTAAAATAGAGGTTTTATCTGAACCCTGAAGAAGGATGCGCAATTTCTTCTTATTCTCTAAATAAGTATGATTCTCCAGCAGAGGTTCTAGGTAGTAAGACCGCATCCTGTTGTAGTAGGGACATTTTAAGAAAAAATGTTCTGAGTCCTCCACTTCTGCATCTATCTCACGACACCCACAGGTTCTCCGCGTGTAGGGAATATTCTGATGTCGTCCCAACTTGGACTTAATGTCGAGCTGCTCAAATCTAGCCCGGGTAAAAATTTTCTAATATAGAGTGGAAGTATAAAAGAGAGGTAAGGTTCCATGCCCACATTACATTTAAATTTGGCCAGGTATGGAGTGGCTCTAGCTTGCGCTATGTTCATTAGATCATTTTGTGCAGCAATGTCGAGAATTGTTACCAGTAAATCTACCAGGATCAAGCACCTGCTGGTCTCCACAAAGCTACGTGGGCTCATGCAACAAACATTGACTACCCTTTAAGCCAGTTGCCTGATCACAGACTGCTTCTGAAACTCCACCTGGTTTCCAAACAAACTTGCTATGATTAACTAATCACGCTTTCCTATGAGAAAGGTCAAAGGTTTTATTACTATATGTGAAAAACAAAGACCATGAGGACCCCCAGATGTTGTCAAGCTACTCACCTCTCATCAGTGGCTAAGCTAGCAAGGACTGATCCAACATCTGGAGGACCACTTTTATGAGAATATTGTGGGAGCAAGTTTCAAGGATATCTATTTAAAACTTTCTTAATATAATTTACAGGTAAAAGTAGTGTTCCATTCTTCCAATTTTATACAAAGTAGTTTGAAAACTAATTCATTGTACAACTTACCTCCAGCTCTTTGAGGTAGTTAACAGTTGTTTCTTGTCTCATTAGTATCACTAAATCATGAGGATGCTTCAAGTTCATTGGTGAGTCGACCTGAAAAAGAGTTCAAAATAGCCATAGTTACAACTTTTAAAAGAGATTACTCAGAGTCATTTTGATGAAGCAGTCCTAGCTTGCTAAATCACAGTGTAGCAGCAAGACAGGAATGAGTGCAGGACACAGGTCCTTACCTCATGGTCTGTAAAAATTAATTACAATTCGGAGTGCATTTGCTGAACAGGGTCTTAAAAGAGTTTGAACATAATTTAAGAATCTGGTTGTTAAAGTACCATTAAGTCATAGTTCCCCATTTTAGATGAAACTGCAATTTAAGGTAATCACAAAGAGTATGCAAAGATGTGCACGTAAGGGAATGGAAGCAATGCTTGCGCCATTTGTTAAACAATGTCTTAACAAATCAGGAATTTTATGCCTGAACTAGGTCTTAAATACTATTCACAATTATTAATGTTTAGACCAGAACTGATCCTTTGGTGTCAGGTAAAGTAAAATATGTCTTTAATGATTTTTTGAACTGGGGGATTAAACTAAATGACTTTCAAAGGTACAATAAATAAGGTTTTTTTTAAAAAATTATTCAGGCAGGCATTTAAACAAGAAAGTTGTCAAGAGTGAGCTGGGCCAGGTGTGTGTGTATTTTAACTGTTTTAAGTGTTTTAAACTGATTTGTATGTTTAATTCTATTTTAATATTTATATATTATAGATTTAAATTGTAATATTATGAGCAACTCTGTAGATACAGCAGCTATTTCCACCAAGGATACAACACTGTTTAAGATGTTATAGCCCATGTCATCTAACAAAATTCTAGGGGAAAATGTACTCTGCCTGCTAAGATGAAGACTTAATAAAGGACCAGATTTTTAAAAATTAGCTTAGCAAGAATTCATTTAAGAAGACAAAATATTTAGTCATCTACTACTCAGAGTACAACTGTAAGGCGTTTAAGGAATGGGAGGGTCTAAAATTATTGAAGAATTCAAAAAACATTTTTTTGCCAACCATTTTTTTGCACACACGAATGCCCAGAAGCATGTGCAAGACATGCAAATTATGGCAGGAAAAAAATAATTCCACTGAAATTCTGTTTGAGGAGAAAGGTAAGTTGTTAGCTTATGTTTAACAACTTCCATTTCTGCCCCACTAACAAGCTGGTCTATCTCACAAGAATGTTCTTCCTCAGCTCATATCTATGATCACTGTCATACAGCTGTCTTAGTACTAAGTGACCATTATTTGGAATACTAAAACCAAAACTAGCTTTCTGCAAAACTAGAAACCATTAAGGCCATTTAATTTTTTGTTTAGGGTAGGAAACAAACTGCTAAAGAGGAAACACAGAGTAACAGGGCACCTGATTTAAATTATAAAGTAAAACATGAAATAAAATTTCATGAATTTAAGATTAAATTGAAATATAGAATATCCCAAAATGTTTAAATGCATAGTTTTGTGCTTTGAAAATCTCTGCTGAGAAATACATTCCCTCTTCTCACATTTTTCTATCTAAATAATGACATTACCTCTGAGGTTTTCAATACCAGTAAATCTATCAATAGGGTATAACATTATTAAGATAAAATTTCACAATGAGTAGATATGTTAATCATTAACATAGTTGTTAGGACATTGTAAGTGATAAGTTAGATCAACTTTGCTAAATGTCAGCAAATTGTTTCTCTTGAGATGCATAATGAGTATGCCAGTGCACTTTATATAAAAACATAGGTTTGAGTCCATCATTTTCTGAGGTGCATAATGAAGAGTGAATTATTTTTCGTTACACAGATGGAGATTACATATATTATGTGTGGAATCTGCAACTGAGAAATAATTCCACACAGCAAACATAAGCTTGTCTATTCAAAGCCCAATCCCAAATAATTTGTTGTTGTGTACCAATGGCACAGCAGGTTGAACAGCTGAGCTGTTGACCAAAAGGTCGGTGGTTCAAATCTGGGGACTGCGGTGAGCTCCCGCTGTTAGTCCCAGCTTCTGCCAACCTAACAGTTCAAAAACATGCAAATACGAGTAGATCAATAGGTACCACTTTGGCGGGAAGGTAACAGCACTCAATGCAGTCATGCTGGCCACATGACCGTGGCGGCGTCTACAGACAAAATGTTGCCTATTTGGCTTAGAAATGGAGATGAGCACCATTCCCCAGAGTCGGAGATTACTAGACTTAATGTCAAGGGGAAACCTTTACCTTGAAGTCTTGCCTGACCTATGACAACTCTCTGGCAAACCTATCACGGGATTTTCTTGGCAAGATGTGTCCAGAGGAGGGCGACTAAAATGATCAAGCGTCTGGAGAACAAGCCCTATGAGAAGTGGCTTAAAGAGCTGGGCATGTTTAGCTGAAGAAGAGAAGGCTGAGAGGAACCATGTTAGCCATGTATAAATATGTGAGAGGAAATCATAGGGAAGAGGGAGCAAGCTTGTTTTCTGCTGCCCTGGACACGCAACAATGGCTTCAAACTACAAGGATATTCCATCTGAACATTAGGAAGAGCTTCCTGACTGTGAGAGCCATTCAGCAGTGGAACTCTCTGCCCCAGCGTGTGGTGGAGGCTCCTTCTTTGGAAGCTTTTAAACAGAGGCTAGATGGCCATCTGTTGGGGTGTGTGTGTGTGCTTTGAATGCAATTTTCCTGTTTCTTGGCAGGGGGGGTTGGACTGGATGGCCCATGAGGTCTCTTCCAACTCTATGATCCTAAGATTTATTCAAAAGAGGGTTGATTTTGTCTTCTCTGAGGCTGAGAAAATGCGACTTGCCAAAGTGGGTTTCCATGGCCAAACTAGGATTCAAATCCTGGTCTCCAGAGTCACAATCCAACATTCAAACATTACACCATGCTGGTTTTCTCAATGGGTTTTACTTCCAAATAAATGCATATAAGTATCCAACTCAATTTATTGAAATATATGAGAATAAGAGATCAGTCAAGTTTTAAACATTACCATTGGTTAAAAGATCCACCAATAAAAGTATATGTGATTATATTTCTTAGTTGTGTATTTTAAATCTGATACACAATGTTAAGGTGAACATTCAAGGAAAATATGTGTGTGCATGTATTTGTATGTATATGTATGCATATGTGTGATCTATATCTACAGGGTGTTTCAAAAAGATGACCCAAATTGAAATGGTTGCATCTCTGCAAACACGAACTACCCATGAATGAATTTTTTACCACTTGAAAGGTGGAGCCTTGAGTTTCAAAAGATTACTACTAGATGCCTCTCCCAGTGCATAAACAGCCCTTAGCCTTAGCCATAACATAAGGTCTAATTAGTTACTCTCCACCTGATGGGTTATTTTTTAGCTTTGTTTCTGGCTGAAAGTTGTTAGTAAAACTTGATAACTTGATAGCCGATTAAATCATTTCTAACTTTTGTGTAAATGTAACATGTTGTAATAAACTGCTTTGAAATTGGGTCCATCATTCTGAAACAAGCAGTACCCACATTATGAACAAGGTAAGGTCTGTAGGTTTCTTCTTCATGGCTATGTATAGCCATATACATAAGCTTTGGATAACATAGGTTAGGGTTAACACTCCTGTGGTGTTTGTTTTGCTATCTGTGCCTCTGTTCAGAAGATTTCACCTCACTTTCTGACCCTGTGACAATCGGATTTTGAAAAATGTGGCTTGTTGTGGAAACAAAGATTGGTGATAAAGCTTCAGTTGAGGCACTTTTTTCTGTATATTGAGCTGTAAACCTGAGAATATACATCTTAGGCAGCTGTAACTGATCCCACACAAGGAGATCTGATTACAAAATAAGAGTAATTTCCAATAGGAGAGCTGAGCAGTTGAAAACTGAAACATGGGTCATTATATGCTGTGGACTGAGATAGGGAATCCCAGATTCAGAACTGGGAGATCCATTGAAACACAGCTAACACATCTTTAGGAAATACTCTGGGAAGACAGGAAGGTACCTCATCACTATAGGCTGTGCTATGATCACAATTTCACGGAATGCAGCGGGCACATAAATTGGTTTTGGCAATTTCTAAGTCAGAACTTGAAAAAATGCATGGCAATTGTAACCAGAAGCACTGAAAAGAAGATTCTACTTTAGAAATTGTAACAAGATTTAATGGAAGAAAGCTTAAAGATGAAACATAAACACAGAAAAAATGAAGAATCTTCAATACCAGGAATGTCTAAAGACTATCATTCAATGTACTTCTAAGCCTACTACTTCTAAACATTTCTTATCTCACTTTTTGTTATCCAATATCTCAGCTGCCACATGGTGACTGCTATGCCAGAGATATTTCTATCAAGAATAAAGAAAGAAAAAAAAAAGGGAAAAAAAGGGAAGAACCTTATTATTGTGTTGTTTGCCTTAGTAACGTCTCACTGTCATCACCATAACATGTTTTGCATGGACAATCTCAAATCAGGATTTTGATTAGCATGATAAACTCTCTGCACCAATTAGCATTGACCTGTATTATAAGACTACCACATGGCCCTGCTTTATTTCACATTTCAAAGTTCTGATTTTGATCTGTCAAACACTATATAACTTGGACCTTGAGTGTTTTCAGTTCTTCAAAGGAGTTAACTCCTCCAGAAAAGTCTTTCCTTGAAATCCGACTTTTTGCCAGCTGCTTTGTTTTGGAACTCTTCCTCATACATACAGGGATTCAAAATCTGATTTCCAGAATCATAGTGCAACACTGAAAAACCACCACATTGGTTTTTTGAATCTGCTGAACCTTGGGTACAAAAAAGTCATATTATCTTTCCGGTGTTTTATTTTTTTAGTTTCCTTTTTAAAACCTAGGGGAAAAAACTTTAATGAAGATGAGCATCAACAGATTCTATGCAGCCCTGTATTGTAGTTATATTAAGGCATTCCCAGGACAATATGTCTTTTGTGTTTTAAGAAAACAATTAAAATAAAATCTGAGAGGAAACAATGATAAACTTATACCAAGAATAACCTTATACTAAGAACAACTGAAATTCTATATTCTGGGAATCAGGTAAAACCATGAAGTCTGCTT